TACACGACAACCGACACACAACTTGATACTTCGTCAACGTCGATAGAAAAACCTAAAACAACGCGTTCTGGAAGACGAGTAAGATTTCCAGAACATCTTAACGAATATTGCACGTAGGACATAAGCTTTATCTTGAATTACCCTTTCATTGTTTATTATAAATTTTTTTTAATATGCTCATTTTTTTATTTATAAAAAAAAACAAAACAAAAAAAACAAAGCATTATTATTATTTTTTTGAGCGTATATATATACTTTTTATATTCAAAAAAAACCCAAAAACAAACCATTTTTTTCCGATCGCTTTTACGCTGTTTGTAAGTGTATCAGTTTATTTTTTCCGCTCATCTTGTGTCCTTACGCAAGTACGAGTGTATTTTCAACATGCACTCACACGTTTCATTTTTCCTCTTTTCCAGGACGGCTGGAAAAGAACGACGAAGTTTCGCAAGAAACCGAAATTTTCATTGTACTATATTTCTTTATTGCTATGTTGTACATTTTGGTCCCATAGTTTAAGGAAAGACGACCAGATGCTGCTAAACGAAGCAAGCTATCAGAAGAGTGTTTACCAGCGACAAACTCGTTGGGTTTAAACTTCTGGCTGGTCATGTCTTAGGGGCATCACTACCTCACTAGGGGGGAATGATCTGTAGCTGTAAATAATTCCCCAAAATCAATAGTTCATTAAGTGTTCGACATTGGATGCTGACCACGTGTTTAAGTGAACTTGTTTAGCTGAAGGCTTTCGGTCATGCATCCGCACCAGATCACGTTTCAATACGGCGTGGGACACAGCTCTTACGTTTCATTAACCAGCTCATAGAAAAGGTCCTCGATATATTGGTAACGAATCAAATATATCTTTCCTACCTCTTCTCGTCTGACTTCTGATTTCTATCTGACTGGGAACGATCAAATATAGAAGGTGCTACTGGTAGCTAGTTGTAAAACTAGAACATCCGTTGCATCATCACTGACATTTCTGAATGCTTACGGTAATTTATGTTTTTATATTCGCCGGAAAATGACGTCGAGATGCTGGGGATGTTCCTTTTGAGGTGGCTATGAAATCATGTGTGTGCTGTAACGGGTAACGGTTAATAGTGTTTTTCGTATTCAGTTGCCGATAATTACCAGTTGGACACCAATCGTTACTGTCCTTCTCAGCGACTAGGTGCGAATGAGGTGCCTATGAGCTATTCGATGACTAAGTAATTCTCAAATCTGTCATGCGCTCAAATTCACTTCTGACCAGCCTTAGCTTTTAGGGAGCCAGTTGGCGCGCTTTCGAAAACACAAGTGGTTCCGTAGTCGTGATGTTACGTGTAAAATTGTTGGTTACACACAGCATTTTTGGTCGCGTTTGATACAGTTCGGGGTGCTTGTTAAAAGTATCCGCTAACAGAATGGATCGATTGCGTGTTTAATAGTGGCTAGAGATAACCTACAACCGGAAAATGAAATTTCAGAAACAGGTAATATGATATTTCCGTCTACCAACCTTCGTTTGCATGTATCGATGAGTAGATTATGGTGTTGCAGCAGATTTATACCAACACTTGGCAAAGAAATATCTGCAATCACGGAATTCCAGTGAATGGGTTTGCGTCAACAGATGAACGTAGTGCTTACTGTATGTGGTAATCGGTTTTCCATTTGCCACCTGTAAGTTGAACACCTGTTCATAAAGACGATTATTGGGATTTACAGGAAGAACATTAGCTTCTGCGCGGGTGTTGATAAGATAGAAAACTTTCATTATCAAAAGAGTGATATATAACAGAAGGCTGTGTTCGCCGGTTAAGGTTGTCGTTTCCTGAAAATGTTTTCGTGTCGGATTGTTTGGTGGCTGGTGAACTACAGGGTTTCCTGCAATTTCTAGAAGACGTACCATATTTATTGCGATACCGTCACTATTCTCTCGCTTTTTTGAGCTAGTTTTTTTTCTTGACATTCTTGCTTGTGGAGTTTCGTTTCGCTTTCAATTATGATGAATATTAAGATAGGGAATGATGGTTTGACAGAATTCTGTTATAGAAGGGGTTTTGTGGAGATTTAGTATTTATCATTGTTGAAAGCGTGAGTCAATTGAAACTAGACCTCCATGGAAAACCTGGAAACACTGGACGGCCGTTTCGTTCTATTATGGGACACCTCAGTCTAGTTTCAATTGACTCACGCTTTCAACAATGATAAATACTAAATCTCCACAAAACCCCTTCTATAATTAATATAATCATATGCTCACTAGTGACTTCGAGAAGTATATCTAGGAGCTCTAGTGAGAAGCAGTGACCAGTGGAGTTCAAAACCACGTCTGTTGTGAGATAGGAACTCACTGAAAACAATTGGTGAATAGTTGCTCAACTTCGTGGATCAGTTGAAGTTAGACATTAACACCGTTGGATGCCAGCTCAGTGGTCTATCGGTTAAGGGCTTCGGCTCGAAACTGGTAGGTCCTGGGTTCGAATCTCGCTCGCGAGAACAGGTTCGTGGATGCGCACTGCTGAGGAGTCCCATAATAGGACGAAACGGCCGTCCAGTGCTTCCAGGTTTTTCATGGTGGTCTAGTTTCATTTGACTCACGCTTTCAACAAAGAATTCATTGGCTAATGACCTCCCACAGACGTAGGTAAATTTATGTTACTGAGCCATACTGGCTTTACTTTTGACGGTAGGTAAGGTTTCCACGTTAAAGAATAGCTCTCGTTAATATGTTGTAGGATCCCGAAACGCCACTAGTAAACGTACTAGGCATGATGTACCTGTTAAAATCGTGCGGTAGTGCCTTCTCTACTGTGAATAATTACTCACATGCTCAGTAATGCCGTGCTCGTGGTAGTTAGCTTCTGTGTAGCACAACCAGACTTCTGTGTCATCGGTCCAGGATAGCATGGGTTGAAAAGGTCCAAATCTTAAATAGCTAGGGTTCCATCATGTTTCATCATGAAAGAAATATGATGTACAAATGAGCGAGAAAAAATACAACCGAAAATATAAAAACAGTATAACTATGTGTAAAAATGAAAATTTAAATATGACACATAATATTACAACACGGAACAGACTCACAGTTTATCGTTCGGTGTACCAGATCACGTCAGACCCATCATTAAAGGTGCTACTGGCATTAGGAGTTTGACAATGCCCTTGCACGTAACACCTATGTAATAGAAGTATGCCAACGCAGTCGGATCGAAAGTCAGAAATGAAGAGGCTCAAAGATATATTTCGAAGGCTGCCGATATGTCGAAAGGCGTTCTGTCTAAGTTGGCTAGTAGTTGTAAGGGTTGGGCAGCACAGAGTACTCATTCGTGTTCTGGTGTAAATGTGAGACCGAGCGCCTTTGGCTAGTGCGTGCCCATTAAAACTAATGAGGTCAGCATTAAATACTGTTACACACTCTTATATACAGCACTGAAATTCCAAAGAAACGGTAAAGTGGTTGAAAAGTCAGACAATACACTTCTGTTGAAAATTGAAATGAGATGGTCACTTCCATATCAACCAGTCTGAGAAGTCGGATGTTAAACACAACTATCTCATGAACAATGACTTAAGGTACTAAATTCATTCCAGATTACGTTAAACCTTATTCTAGCAAAATGTTAGTTATGTTACATATCGGCAGTTCCGTAGTTGTAGGTCGTATACGAATGAACCAATAGAGTCAGACAAAGTCTGACAAACTATTCAAACCGACCAATCACACTGTTCAGAGTCCCTATTTTCGCGTTATGATGTGGCGTGTTTCATTTATTAAACCGTTTAATGCTGTTGATGTGCTACATGATGTACAAACATATAATTCTGTATATCTGAAAAAAGAAATGTTACTAATGGCATAACTGTCTGTTTTTAAGTTCTGAGCCGAGTTGTTTCGGCCCTAATTGCGTACTCTAGCCCTCAGTAAACATATGTAAACTTGTATGTAGGACTTTATACTATATGTTCATCATAATAGTTGTACGTAGTAGTAAATTTCTTATATTATAATGTATTCGGTACGTTTTAACTGAAGCTGTAAACCATTGGACCGCAAATGTGTTTGCTTTTGGAACAGTCTTCGAATTCAAAAACTACTAATAGTTGTTCACATTCCAGAACTTTAATCCTATTTAGAACTTCCTGGTCAACACCTACAAATTCCATCGGCACACCTACGATATTACTTTCGGAGGTTCTGAGTTCCGTTAATATACATATTCACGAATGATCAGTCTATCGAGTTCTTTGGAATAAACAGATTCAGATCTGTGCGGTAGGGATAGAAGGCCTATGTTGTTCCTTTCCTAGTATGCTTCTGTGAGTGTCTAGTCTTCTCTTGAATAAGTCAATTAGGGGTGCGGACACTACTGCTTCGAGCAACAGGTCCCAAGAATTGATGACTCGTTGTGAAAGCTTGTATCCCACTGGTATTTTGTTCGTTCTTGGTTTTTCTACTCATCTTCTATGTCTTCTCAAATGTCTCGATCTAGTGGGGAGAATAAGATGATTGCATGATCACTCCTCCCTAGAGGTGAGGAGAAAGTTATTTTTCTGACATCACCATGTGTGAAGATTAGATCCAAGAGAGACGAGGAGCTTCGTAAGTCATATCTGGCGTTATCTTTAATGTGCTCGAATAAAGCTAGGGCAAACGTGATTTCTAACAATTTTCCATCAAATGATGTTACCGATGACCCTACTTCTAAGTTTCCCCACTTATAATGTTTCAATCAAATCACCAACAAACTATTGCTTACTTAGAATTAGTGAAAACAAATATCTTACATGTGCCATTTGTTGTGAGGATCTGTTTCACCCTTTTTTAATAACTATAATATTACGCCAAAGCATGGAACCATCAGATTTTCACTTACGTCTATAGTATTCCCAGTCCCATACGAAATTTACGCTTTATCGTTTTACCTCTGATTGGATTACAATTACCTACAACTTTTCACCAGTTTGTGAATCGCTTTTCAGCTTTATATATTTTGAGTAAAACGCAATCAATGAGACGACTGAAGTTCTTTTTGCCATATTGTGTCATAACTTTGGGGAGTTCGTTTCCTTTTGGATATCACACTGGGGTGATAAATGCACCTGCTGATGTAAGTTACTGACTAATAATAAACAAAAAAAACTATTCAGCTGATTAAAAGCTTCATAAATACTACTCTAGCTGCTAGGTCAGTCACATGTGATGAACGTTTCATCGACTTGTTGTGGTCACTTTGTGTTACGTCCTTCCTTCTTGGAGGTTTTTTTGGAGGCTTGATTGGTGGCGTTTTGGCTAACAAGTTGGGCCGGTAAGTTGTCTTTATTCTAGTTTACTGTCAGAAAAAAATCACTATTCCTGCTGTCTATCCCAACAGTAATTGGATCACTCCTAATGATGTTTTCGAAAATGGCAGAATCTTTCGAAATGATTATAATTGGGAGATTTACAATTGGGATCGCTTGTGGTAATTCTATCACTTATGAAATATTTGAAAAGGTGCTCACACGGTCGTTGGGCCTATGTTTCTGTCGGAAATAGCTCCAGTTAATTTCCGCGGAGCTGCGGGAACTTTCAATCAGTTTGTGATTGTTTCCGCTATATTGTTGTCACAAGTACTTAGTCTGCCTGAAGTGATGGGGACAACGGAATTATGGCCATATCTACTTGGTATGATAGTAAAAATGCTCATATTTTGAAAGCTTTATGTACCGTTTCCAGCGTCATACATATTCTACTCCTGTTCACTTGTCCTGAAAGTCCTACTTACTTATACATTGTTAAAGGTGATCGTCGAAGGTCAGAAAATGGTAATGTATCATATATTTTATTATTCACATATATTCATATATAGCATTAGTTTACCTTAGAGGGCAAGATTGTGATGTACATGCTGAATTAGAACTACTAAAATTGGAGACGGAACAGTCATCTACACACAAATCAAATGTTTGTGACCTACTGCGTATTCCATACTTGCGTTGGGGACTGATTGTAGCTTTGGTACCACATATTGGCCAACAGTTTTCCGGTATAAATGGAGTGGGTAACTTTGATTTCGAAATGTCGCTTTTCCCAACAACCCATATATCCCCTGAGTTATTTGTTGTCATATCCACTAGTTTTATCATAACAAGAAATTAATTCAAAGATTATCCGTTGTTGCTTTTTGATAATTTTTGAAATTTTACTAACCTCTTTCACTTCTGTGCAGTTACGAAAAGTACCTAGAACCATTATATTTTGTTTCTGCCTTTTATCAATGTTTATGTGCTTAAATAATAGTAATAGCAATAATAATAGTAATAATAATAATAATTAATGCTTTATAGCATAGTGGTATAGTCTAAATTCCTAATCTTTAGATGAAAACATCAACTCCAACCTTTTGGCTGTTTCCAGTCAGTAAAAATCTGCTAGTTTTCTAATCTTTAAGTATGTTGAAAGAGAGCTGAGGACTAGCCAAACCAATACGTCACACCAGTCCATGGAGGCTTTAACTGCTGGACTAGGCCATACAATGAGATTCTGACCCTCAAGCCGAAATCTTCATGATGATCATGATCAATGATTGCAGACCTTAGTGGATAAATGGCTCAAACTCGTTTGCATTGCTGTAGGTATACTATTTTTTTCTCTTTTCCTAGATTTTGGGCTTCAGTATTATATCATACTTTTCCTCGATTTTATTTATTTTCCAAGCATGTTCTGTTTGATCTTTTTCACAGTCTTAAACATGACTATTATTTAGATTCCTCGTTAATTTCATTTTAGTGTGCTGAATTGGTATGGCAGTTTAGTCTAATAAACCTTTGTACCAGGTCCTAAGTTGTTTTGACTGATCAAATTTCAAATTGTACCCACTGTTATCCCTGAATATTTCTGTTCAACGAAGAAATAAGTAGATAAATTTTATATTGTATCACATTTGAAATACTCATTTCTTACATTGACTTTACAAATTGTTTAATAAAAATGATATATTTTTCTTTCTGTTACTAAGGTTCAGACATATAACTCAGTTAGTCAGCTATACATGTTAGTTTTAGAACTTAAAACTTACGGTAATTTAGAAATTATGTTCAGTTATTAAAAAGTGGACAAATTCTATTCAGTTAAGCTTATTCGAAATCCAATTATTAGTCAATGTAAATAAAGCCCATAAAAATCAATGTATTGGGATTTAGTTTCCGATATATTTTTGTCGTATAATGAATGTTCATCTGTCCTCTTGGCTTTCTTCTTTTCGTCGAGTTATATCACGTGTTTTATTCACAGCACTGCTGAAATGTTATTATTTCTTATTTTAGATTCTTTACTACTTTGTAAGTTTATTCATATCGAATGGGTTAACAAAACAAGTTGCAAGCTATGCAAATCTTGGAACTGGAGTTACAATTCTAATCGGTGCATTCTCATCCATATTTGTTATCGATCGGAAAGGCAGACGTCCTTTATTAATGTTTGGAATATCAGTTTGCCTTTTTAGCCTCTTACTATTCACCTTAACTTTGATTATTAAACAAGTGACTGAAATCAATAAACTTACAATTATATCTATTGTATTGACGTATACGTTTTTATTTGGATTTTCAGTGAGTTTAGGTAAGTCAGTAGGCAGATATTTTGATTTCTTCATAATTTTCCCATTTATGGTGACAGTAGGATTACTGTGTATACTACTGTTAAAGAAGCAACTTTTCAATTATTATATTACTTAACGTTGAAGCAGATGTTATGTATGTTGAAATTGAGCGTACATTTTACGTATTTGCACAATTTTTTTTACTTTATTTATCAATTACTAGTAAAGCAAATACATTTTAAGTAAGTTGAGGTAATCGGTAGGAAACTGTAACCTAGTTTTTGCGCTAGTTAGCAAGGTGTAACTGTAATCTTGAGGGTACTGATGCTTCTTATGGAGTTCAAACCCCCGTCACTCAGATCCACAGTCTAATATGCTATTGCTGAAATTTTTGAGTGGCGACCCACATGCAATAGGACTACAATATTTTCACCTATGCTTCGCTAAGTAATAGCTAATATCATGCTTGTTTAGTTCTTGGTAGACTAGTATTTGCCATAAGTAAAAGTAGTTGATAACAACAGTTCGCGAATTGAACTACTCAACATTACATTGAATGATGTTCAGGTATCTCAGAATAAATGGCTACATCAATTTGCCTCATTTTTTTTACACAGTATTAATTTTTTGAAATTTGGTAGCAAATTTGATAACCGTAAAACATCTGATAAAAATGCTATCAGGATTTGAACCCTATTTCTAAACTGCTACATTGTTTTTCATATAATGTTACAGTTTATTATTGAAATATTCTCTTGATTTCTGGATGGCCACTATATTTTTTCTAGAAAGTCTCTAAACAGATGCTGATGTCATTCAACCTTTCAATTTCCTTCCCTTTTGATAACATCGGAAGTAACTATTGTCTAAACCTGTAGTCTTCGTACATTGTTGTATTTTTCAGTCTTCATAACTACAGCCAGCGATCATCTGGAATCAATTTGATATGCTTGGATCGGTATAATTCAGCTAAAAGTCCCCTTAACTAAAGATTCGTAAGCGTAAGAGTACATGAAGTTGTTTCGTAGAGACGGTAGCTTTTGTCATACTCAAATTATTTTGGGCATAGATTTCCCAGGAGTAGTCGCTGAAACTAAGTTTTTGAATCCATTTACATAAAACACTAGAGTAGCCCATAAGTACATCGATCTATACTTAAAAACAGGATGGATGTTTATCGCTATCTTTTTTGTGTCACAGCAAAACACAACTCCGATTCAGTTAAAAGGAATGCTGCTGTCTCAACACTTACAATTCAATAAAAACTGAGTGCCCAATCTGTAAAATGAGGAATACTGCTTGTGCAGAACCAAATTACTTTGCATTTAAGGTTAGTTGAGCGACCAAACTCGAGTCTTGTGTAAGTACATCACAAACACAGAATTCAACCATGATATTAATAAGCCTCTGAAGACTTCTTTCATCCATTCTACAGCGTAGACGTTGAGAGTCTCGTTGTGCATTGACTAGCTTAGTTTCAGGAGATTAAAATACCGACTTAGTAGGCTTACATTGTTATTGCTAAATGAATATGCAAATGTTGAATTAAGTGTATGAAAATTTGTTGGGAATAATAAGAGGTGATGATGAAGAAAATGAATAGTGTTCAAAAGAGATTGTCGTTGTACTGAAAGTTTGCATAGAGAATCAATACTTTCTAAATACTGGTATCATAGAACTATCTATACTCCTAAGGAGACTAAAGAAGAAAATGTATTGGCTAGTGACGAGAGACGATAACAATCGAGACTCGATCATTTTATTTGTGCAAGCATTTGACAAATTCTTATTATTCTCTATGAAAAATTAATACCGACATTCGCAATTCATTACACAATGTGAAATTGTCAGCTTTCTGTATGTTTTCAGTTGACAGAATAAAGCAGTAATGTTGTTAAGAATCTTGTGGGCCGAATAGTAAAATCTTGTTGTTTCCACTTATCAGTAAAGTTCGTTTTCATTATTGACTCAAATTCAAACTAGATGTAGGAGGACATATATTAATGAGTTGTACATATGTTCTCCTGGTGGGCGACCTTTGCTCCTCCACGAAAAGTAACAAGCGTAAGTAAGCAAGTAAACATATATCCCCACTGTTATAAAATTGTATTAGTTATGAAACTTAGTTTCATACATACTTTTGATTTTATAGTTAAACTATTATCTTTTACCGATTGATAATGTATAAAAACACTTAACAATATTTCAAATAAAGTTGACTTTAAAAACTATTATCCCTTTTGAATTTATTCAAAGATTCTTTCGAAAAAAAACTTTATTTTAGGTTCTATCCCATGGTTTTTGGTTTCTGAATTGTTTACGCAAGAAAATCGTGATGCTGCTGTCTCTATTGCTGCAGCAACTAACTGGTTATGCAATGCCATTGTAGCGTTAATATTCCCTCAGTTGGTTGTAAGTTGAATCAGTCTAATTTATGTTGTTATTTATGAGTAATTATAGCACTTTGCATACGTAATCTTTTTCTATGTTCATCAGTTGTAGATTTTTTCTCATTATTTCGATTTTATTCATTGTTTGCTTAAAGCATAAAAGTAGTATTATATAAGTGTAAAGTAATGTACCACATAAAGTAAAGGCCCCCAAATGCCCTGGTACGGCCGAGAGTGGGGAGGACCCACCCTCTCTCTCAAAATGCTCTCACATGACCACGCGAATATATAGCCTCTACCAGGGAAGTTCTACTCACTGCCTTCTCGTGGCGGGGGTGTTGTTTACGAAATTGAGAGGACGAAAAGCGAATGTCCGGCGCTTGGTGGACATGAAAAGTTCACCCAGGGGAGTTGGAAAACCCTGATTCCAAACCAATGGTGCACATGGGCTCCAGGATCCTGAAGGAACAAATAGCGTATGAACCAATTATTTGGTCACCGGCTACCATGGGACTGCATCTCCTCACGATGCTCCACTGCCTTGTGGAATAGTCCTTCAGGTCAAAGGCTCCGGGTGTGGCCCCCTAAGAAAACCACCTGCTTCAGTCTGGGCAGCTGGGCAGTATCACAGCCCTCACACAAATCAAATGAGATTTGTGAGGCGCATATTTATCTGGTGCTTCCTTGTACCAATATTTATGTGTTTAAATAAATAAATAAATAAAGTCCTACATTATGGATTCACAAATAGAATAAGGTTTGAAATAAGAATTGATAAAAAATATCAGATAGACAGTTGTGATTTCATAACCACACTGGGTATGTAAATAAAGTTAACTGAAAACTTGTAGCATTATAAGTCTTTTTCAAAGTACATTACAAATGTTATGTTCAACGGTTGTCCAATCCCGATATTATCATGCACTTTCTCCATATGGGAACCTAACCTGGTAGTTGTGTGAAAAGGCTAAGAATGAATCAGAAGTTGTATTGGGAAACCAAGTGAAAATGCACACAAACTTGATCATATATGAGTATTGGGTTGTGCGGATCATTGAGTTTCATTGAGATCATGAACCGATCAATGTTATATCACTATTGGAAACCTGGATGCACCGGACAGCATATTCGTCCTAATATAAGAACACATTGCATACCCTCTTGAAAAATGTGCCGACAAGTATGTTGAAATATATATATATATATATATATATACATTGGTACAAAAGGGCACCAGATATATATATATATATATATATATATATATATATATCAATGTCATTTATTATTTATTTGAACACATAAATATTGGTACCAAGGGGCACCAGATATATATGTGCCACACAAGTTACTTGGTTTGTGTGTGGGCCGTGATACTGCCCGGGTGCCCAGACCGAAGCAGGTGGTTTCCTTAGGAGGTTACACCCGGAGCCTTCGACCTAAAGGTCTGACCAACAGGGCAGTGGAGCATCATGAGGAGATGCAGTCCCATGGTAGCCGGTGACCAACCATTGGTTCATACTCCATGTGTGCTCACACACATTGATATATACGGTTTATAAGAACTTTCGTCGAAATTCGAACTAACAGTTGCATAATATTTAGATGTTGAGTTAATGAAAGACATTGAAAGTGGAAACTATAATTGTAAAAGTCTCAGAAGTTGAAGTCAAAATAACTCGGATGTTCCGCCCACCAGTCTGGTCTCAGCTTCAGGGAAATAATCATACTTAAAAATTAACAAATATAAATATGTAGTTCGAAAATTCTACAGTCAGCGTTAAGATGGTTGAACGATATGTTTAGTATACAATTAATTTGTGAACCATCTTTCTGGATTCAATAACTTTAATATATGCTTCGACACGCATATCTCCTACTTTCATAAACCATGTTTTATAGCCATAAAGCAGGATACAGACAACTACTGGGCAGTATACTTATCTTTTGGTTAGTGTCATATCCCCCGGTGAATTACGAATGGTAACTTTTAGGTCCATTTATGGATCAATGTAATATGCCTATTTCCTATTGTACAATTATTACGTAACTGAACTATTCATATTCGTATTTCTCTTATCATTAGCTTTATTTTGACCTTGACTTATTATCATACGATTCTTGAGTTATAATCAGTTTATTGATTACTTTGGTTTGTATAAAAACCTAGTGTGTTTGTAAATAATGATTCATACCACTGAGGCTGTTATCGGTGTTTTGGACTTAACTGGTTGGGCTAGGCAGATCGCAGGACCGGTTAGCACTCTAGTCTGCTCGTACGGTTTCGTGTGTCACTGTTCCAATCGACAATTCGCTGCTCTCTAATTGGCGGTCTCATCAAGTCACACATCAATTAGTCATCCACTCGGCCACAAGCATAACAGTTAGCATATGGACACTCCTTACCCCACAATTAACTCAACTTGTCAAACGCAAACGGGGATTTCTGAATTTGTTATAAGATTTTGCCAGACACCAACCCATTAGGACTTATGAGACTCCCAAGATAAGTGGAATGACTGACACACTAAACTACTTCACTCTCAATCATTAGTTCAAATGTTAAAAAGATCAATTCTGAAGAATCGTTTTGCATTTAGAAAGAGAAAAAACCTTCCCAAATGTGATTGCATTGTTGTTCTTGTTGATCAGAATACTTTTGGCTTTTTTAATGTCATAATCCTTATCTAAACTTGTAACATAATTCTTATTCAAACAACGTACTAGTTTTAGTTCTCGTCTTGTACAATTTTACTGTTATGATTAGAATTCAAATATATCTTATCAAAGAGAAAATTCATATCGATCCATTGATCTAGACTGATAACCTATTTCTCAATCAGATTTTGCTAAACGCTAGAACTTTGTCTATCGTGCTATTACGTTCTATTATTTCGTTTAGTCCGGTTGTAACAGTTTTGCAATTAATAATAATGTTCAGTCGATGTTACTTACTGGAGCCTGTATAACAACTGATTATTTTTTTGCGTACTTTTAAATTATCATAACTTTTTTCTGGATATTTGATGGCCAATTGGGCTAACTTCCGTACTATTGTTCGTTGTGAAAATAATTCTACGCAATTGGTTCACATGTCCTTACACTGTATGACCTACTTATAGAGAGATTTTGATTTTCATAAAATTAACAGCATTCAAATTCATCAGCCAAGTTTGAGTAAAGTTTCTTATTCCCAAGGATTGGTTTACTTCTTCGGAAATATGTTAGATCACAGATTCAAAATCTTGCTTTTCACTTAAAAAAGTTTGGATGACCTAGTACAACTTTTAGCCTCTACAATAGAGATGTGCTTAACGTCTCATTTGCGTATTCAGTCTCATTTTTCTATTTACCCGTAGAGGCAGTTAATTAAGAAATTTTGATAGGTGGTCACTATATTAAAGAAAGCTAAGATAAATTCTAACTAGTTAGATGACGTCGATTAACAGCGATCATGAAATAATGTTTCATTGTTACAAAACTAACGAGGTTGTCTCTGTATGTCAATTTACTTTATGCTTATTATAGATGGTTTCAGTGAGTTGAAAGCATCAAACTAGTTTAAATAACTGTTTTGTGTTTAGTTTTCAGCGCTCATTCGATTATTGCCTTATGAAATTTCGGTAACAACTGAATTAGTTAGTGTTTGTATAGTATATTTAGCTTTCTGGTTCATATTTATCGAATAATATGCCTAATTAATAAATTCACACATCCAAGTGATACTTTTTATACTAGATACCACTGTCAGACCTTACGAAAATCGTCTAAACAATGCTTTTTTAACTTTTCACTAAAACATTGGATTACAAACATAGGAAATCACACTATGAAATATCAAGTTTTCGCTACAGATGAACATCAGTTAGAGAGCCACTGAAAACCAACAGCTATTTGCTTTTAATTCCAAACTTTTCAACTATCTGTAATTACAACACACAATAATATAACCAGAACCCTATCACGAATCGATCAAAGTTGGAAATGCGGACCACTGGATTCAGAGATGTTTAAAAGTATCACACTCTCTGAAAGACCAGCATGTCCCAGGTTCTAGCTCATGTAGAATCGTTAATATACACTGCTAATGAATTACAAACTTTCACAAAGCAGTATCTCAATATCCTTTAGTTCTTAGTAGTCCTCTAAGTATTAATATTAAATAACTATGTGCAACTTATTAGTTACCTGATAATTAATCTGGGTTAGAAATTAAGATTACAAACTGATCAATATTGCTACACTTCACTCTGTTTTATGGAATAATGTTAAAAGTTCCTGTGAAAATTTCTTCATTGCTTCAATGAATTTAGTAATCCTTTCATTAAAGTATACTTCTTAATTACAAAACCAAATTTTAACATTAATTTTTTTCTTAAAAACGACTGTGAAATTCACTTTTTTTTATTAACTTGAACTGGTACTCTTTGCTATGGAAAATTTCATTTTGTATTGAAAACTCTCAAGGCCTTATTAAATATTTCATGGCTTATTATTATTATTATTATTATTATTATTATTATTATTATTATTATTATTATTATTATTATTATTATTATTATTATTATTATTATTGTCGTCCAACATAACACGCAACTAATATTACGTTGTTATGTAACATAATAACCTTTATTCCTAATTAAATTATGAAAAAAGAATCCTGTAAACAATAAAAACGGTATTGCCATCAACAATGACGGGGAAAATATTATCAGAATTCAGTAGTTAATTTAATATTTTTTCAGCATATTTCTGCTGTTTTGTTTTAATTAATAATATTGATCAACTGTCTTATAGTTCAAAGTATCTATACATACCTTTTTTATATCTTATCAAAACAACAAAGAACACACACATATAGTAAGAGTAAAGGTAGCTAACATTGTAAATTTCATTATTCATTCACAAACACTTTAATTATCACCTGTTAATATAATGTAATGATTTTTCATTTAGACAAATAAATAAGTTTAGAGTTTTGTGCAGATTGCAAACTTTTCTTAGTTTTTAGATAATAAATTAATCTTTGCTAGACTACCAGAAAACACTAGACAACTATTTCATCCTAGTATGGGACTCAGCAGTGCGCATGCATGACCCTATGCTGATAATAATAACTCACTTTAAGATACAACTCCTAGAGTTCTAGTGGGAAACCGTAACCAGTGGAGTTTAATCATTACGGATGTGAGACAGTTATCTACCATAAGCAATACAGGATAATCGCTCAATATCGCTAATTGGTTGAAGCTAAATATGTAATGCGTTAGATGCAAGACTGAAGCTTCTGAGTTTGGTTCCTTATGGTGAGATTGTGGATGCATACTTTCGAGGAGTTCCATACTAGGACGAACCATCTGTCCACCGATTTCTGGTTTTCACTGGTGGTCTAGCAAATATTAGTTCATGGTGTAAAACCATGAAACAAATAAGTGTTAGAACTAATATAGCTATTAAGAAATTAAATAATAGTATTATTATTTGCTATCTGGTGTTATTTTCCTAACTTTGTTCATAAGCATAATGATATCAATATAATATTATGAATATATATATATATATATATATATATATATATATATATATATATATCATGTTAACTACTAATAATTAAAAAATAAGGTACACAAAATAGTCCAGTAGTATGTGTGTCTAGATAGTTTTTTTAAATGTTGGTACTATAGGGTGATTGATTTATGCATAGCAAAACACCATAAGAGCTTATATCAATCTAGGCAACCTTTGTGATGACTAAGATGCTAGCTTGATCATAAATAATTGAATTTATAACGTGTCGTTACCAGTGATTTTGTACTAGGCTTGAAAATATTAGTCTGTTCGAAATAAGGATGTTTAGTAATTCTCTGTGTTCCATGATCATTCCCTCTAAATGGTCGCTTATTTTAAGCAGTAACTTTGTATTACTCTTACCAATGGCCGGTGAAGTCTGTTGAGTCATAATGGAGATGGTAACTTACTATATGTTACCATCTTGAACAGATCAATAAAACACAAAGAATTGAAAATGACAATATTTGTAAGATGACCAAGAACTAATCCACCGAGGTCACAACCACAAATTATGGTATTATGATCGACTTCAAACTGATAAACCTTATCTCTCTTTACAAGGATCATGTCGACATTTTATGACTTAGTGAATTAACGTCATATTTTGATTCGACTTGTTCATTTTTTTCAATCTGTTTTTATGAAAGCCACTATATTACATCGAAGGATGTTGATTGGTTATATTTCCAACAACTTCAGTCGATGATGGCTGACACCTTTGTTAAGTGATTTGCCACTTTTTATCCCTAGTACCTAGTGCCTAATATTACTCCAAATTGTCCACTTGTTTGTTCTGTAGCACATAAAAAATAGATCAAATGCCAGTAAATCATCACCTTCAGTGACAATCAATTGAACTTGTGTTATGATAGATTAGAGATTTTGTATACTAAACACTCTTATAATGCTGATACAAACTATGGTAATCTGGACTAACCCACATATGCTCCAGATCCTACGTTTATTTGTATTTTTGTATTTGCTAATTTATTTGAAAATGGGATTATGTATTGATTTATATTTTAATATGTCCGGTCTTTTGTTTATGAAATAAAAACTGAGTAGCTTTTCAATGTTTTGACCTTATCTATTCAATTTCTTATGTTTTCCTTTTTTCTACACAGATCTATATTGGTATTTATGCTTTTATACCGTTTATATGTGCATTGTTAGTTGTATTAATATTTGTCGGATTGTATCTACCCGAAACGAAAGGAAAAACGCCAGCTTCCATCGAAGATTATTTTATGCGTGTTTGTGGTTTTCGTGGCACAGAATCACATGAAAATCCAACATTTACAGATATAATAGATGATACAAGTAAGTCTATTTAAGCACAATTGTCATTAGTTGTCAGAAAGGCTTGAGTCTTGTTTTTGTACTAGTTATCGCACGCCAATAAGGAGTATTCACTATATTAGGAAAACTTGCACTCCTTATAGTATTCAAACCCACATTTTCTAATGTCACAATAAGTGACGACATTTGAGTAAATATTTCAGTCATTTAAAAGGCTAGTCACAGTGTAAATAAGATATTGATTACAGTTCTAACTATCCAACATCGGGATACGGTACATACAATGTCATATCACATAGGCCAGTGACCACATTGTAACCAATAAAGTCAATCAAATTCGACCAACATTAAAAACTAAACAACATAACATAAAGAGTTATTCATTGATCATTTAGTGTAAATCTTAATTTTCTGTCCAATAGAGTTCGGTGTTATCTTTATATCTTTTCCAATGTATATAATATTATAAAGCCAATTGGTTTTCTAAACTGATATGAAAATTGAAGTCATAAGTGTGATTAATTTTTAAACGGCTCCAGAAGCACTGAAATCATGTTTCATTAGAATATGAAATTTACATAGTGAATTCAGTACAGAGTTGTGGCAATTGTTGAATTCCATTGAAATCTGGATGCACTGGATGACCATTTTGTCCTACTGTGGAACTCCTAAACAGTGCGCATCCACGACCCCTCACATAGAACTCGAACTCAAGACCTTCGATCTCACTTGCAAACGCCTAAACTCTTGACCACTGACATGACATCAGAGCTCTTGGAGTTTTCGTAAATAGAAGTGATTAGATTATTTTAAGAACATTCTAATGTTTCGTTTTACCTAAGAATGACACTATATCAGCGAAGATTAGTTTCATTCAACAATCTTCGCTTTCCGGAAAAATTCACATTGTTCTAGAAATTCTCATTGATAGCCATAATTTAGCCTTTTTTTAATTTTTCAAAGTACGTATATTTAAAATACTTTTATTCTGTTATTCTTTTGAAAAATATGTATATTCTAAGAGATAGAGCAACCGTATATGATCAATTGAATCGCGTGTTTATTTTCTATTATAATTAATAATTAATCTTTAGCGATGATATATCCTAAATAATGGAAAGCTTAATATTCTGATCTTATTTCATCTGATGCTCTCAATATCTTTTCGTTTGACCTACACTAATTATGCATCTAGCCTACTAAAAATCTAATCCAATTTTCATGCAAATCTCATTGTCTCTACCTACTGAGGTTAAATATTATAACATGGCTCCAAAAGATCATGTTATTGTTATTATTTATGTAAAACATATTACCTTTACGCATCGAATTGCGCCGATACTATGATCCTTGTTTCTTTTATCTGTCCTTCTCACTTATTGGTTGCATATCGTACCAGATTATTACGCGTATTTCATGGTCAATGGTCAAAGCACTGTGTCACTAGTTTAAAGTTTACCTTTTTTTCATGATTTGGACAGTCAAATATCAAACAAATCAACATTTCTTTCTCTGATCTAATCAACAATCTCAAATGTTTTTTTCTGTTTTAAAAATATATCATGATAACACAGTTAACGGTCATAGGTTATTTTTTTATCCAAACATCACAAATTTTATGATTCATATTACAAACTGATCTTAACTAACCACGTAAAACCAAGAAGCACTGAACAGTTATTTTGTTCGTGTATGTGAATCCTCGAAAGTGAGCATTCACAACCCTGCCAAATATTGAACTTAAGATCTTATCCTTTAGACAACGGATCCAGCATCCATTAGTTTCATTCGACCAATTCACGATATTGCGGAAACATCTTCCATTGTCATAGGTAAAGTAACTGTCTCCCAAATGCCCTGGTACGGCTGAGGGTGGGGAGGACCCACCCTCTCTCTCGAAATGCTCTCACACGGCCACGCGTATACAGTCACTGCCAGCGAAGTCCTACTCATTGCCTTCTCGCGGTGAGAATGTTGTTTACGAAATTGAGATGACGAAAAGCGAATGTCCAGCACTTTGACCAGTTTGGTAGATATTGAGGATCCACCCAGGGGAGTTGGAAAACCCTGATTCCAAACCAATGGTGCACATGGGCACCAGGATCCTGAAGGAACAAATAGCGTATGAACCAATGGTTGGTCACCGGCTACCATGGGACTGCATCTCCCCACGATGCTCCACTGCCTTGTGGAATAGTCCTTCAGGTCAAAGGCTCCGGGTGTGGCCCCCTAAGAAAACCACCTGCTTCAGTCTGGGCAGCTGGGCAGTATCATAGCCCTCACACAAATCAAATGAGATTTGTGAGGCGCATATTTATCTGGTGCTTCCTTGTACCAATATTTATATGTTTAGACAAAAAAAAACAATTTTTAGCTTAATGTACAAATATGCCTTCGGGATGTTATTATTATCGTTAATCTATTCATTTATTTATATCTCAACCATTTTTTGTAATTTTCAACCATTGATTCACAAATTCCTACTCTGTGTTCTTCATTCTACTTCAGTTTAAGACAATTACATAGTATCCTTACTCAGCTAGTTCTCATCCAAATCATGTGGTCAAAAGCTCTGACTACATGGAAATTGTATTTGGTTATCGTGTACAGTCGTATTCCCTTGTTTTTATCAATGTCTTCAATAGATAATCATAAATTAAAGTGTATAATTATTGGATTTAAATGTCACTACTCTACTGTTATTGATTAAGATCTCATAGTTTTTTTCAGTAAAGTATTTATCGATTCGTTCAATTCTTGTGTTTTTTTCGGTATTTTTTCAGCACAATCTTAACTTAGCAACAATCGCACTGGTAACTCAATTCATAATTCACATTGACAAGAATATATATATATATATATATATATATATATATATATATATATGCACCAAATTAATCATTACTCATACCGAGTACTATCACTATTATTACTATTACCATTATTAATTTTATTATATACCACTACCTTTTTGTCTTACCTACATATTTCCATACTTTCTATATATACATATATGCACAAGATTTTCAAATGTTTTAACATTGTTCTATTTTGTTTTATTTCCCATATAAATTATGTCAGTATATGTGAATATTCTTTTATTTTGAATTTTTCTCTAATTTCATTGATTCACTGTAATATCTTGTTGTTGTTGTCGTCGTCATCTATCCAGTTATTATTTTCTACTCAGGGTTTATCTTATTATTTAAAACCATTACATCATATCTATTTCGATTATATTCATTGATTTTCTTGTTTGAATCTTGATTGTTTTTTTTATTTGATGTCTTTTCTATTCCATCTCTCTAATATCTAGAATTTTGTTCCTGGATTTTGTTTTAATAGATTAGATAATATTACATGGAAACGATACATCAAAACGGTACTTATTTTTTTATCTTCTTTTGTCTTAATATTCAACATACAACAAGTGTATTAATAATATTTCTTATTTTCTTTCTGTGAATTACTGATAACAGCTGATAACTGTGTTTTTTTCAGGCGCTCGTGTTTCATTCTCTTATTTTCATTGAAATAAAACACTTTTTCCGCCGAAAAAAACCCAAAAGTCTGTTGTATTTTTTTTAGAATTCAAAGTTGTCAATATTAGGCTTTTTTCATATATTTAGTGAGGTTAGATACAGGGTATTAGGGAATGATGGTAAATCGGTTGATGAGGTTGTAAATCTTCATTGACTGAGATGGTTGGGCCACGTCTTATGTATGCCTGAACACCGATTACCACGACACTCAATGCTGACTAGTATTGGGGATGGTTGGAAGAGAGTTAGGGGCGGCCAAACTAAAACGTGGCATCAGAGCTTGAATTCACTAACTTCTAGTCTGAGCCATGTTGGTAGATGCAGACTACTTGGTTGGAGTCCACACGACTATCGTAGCCAGTGGCTGAAGACCCTGGGTGACATGGCGCAGGTGTGTACACTCTTTATCTTCTCTTAAATCTTGAGATTAAAATTGCTTCATATCTTTCTTCCTTCCTGTACTATACCCTTATATATTACCACCATTAAATTAACTACTATGAATTTGATGTTCATCTTGTTGTGCCAGTGAGGTTATGGCAACTTGGACAGATGCATAAATATGCTTGGTCCTACGTTGTAGCTGACTGATATATATATATATATATATATATATATATATATATATACAGCAAAGAGAGCACATTATTATTCAACTGTTTAATCTGAAACCAGTAGTTACTGTTCAATACCAAATAGTTTTGAGTATTTTTTACTAGATGATATCAATGCATAATGATAAACTATTTTCCAATTATATTAATTTTCACTAACCGTTTATCTAGATTGTAATCTTTTACTCTTTGAGGACTAGTTCTTAAGTGAGTTTCACAAAGTTTGACTGGAAGTCGACCAAGTAAGATGTGGTAAAGCATTTGTCTACCAATACGGATCATATTACATACCAGGTTGACCCCACGTTTTCCACAATATCTGAAGGAACTGGGTTCAATGTTTTACAGGTTATTGGGTATGCATTACTATGAGGTCCCAAACTACAATGTAATGGCTATCTTGTACTTCATGGTTTTGAATGATTGTCCAGTTTGGTGTTGGTCTGATTCTAACTATTTTGGTTCACGAAACGTTACTCTTAATCTCCCAAAACTGTAATGTAAACTGCATGTTTGAGCCTTGTGTTAAATAGAACAACAGGTTTCATTAAATAAGACTTTAGAATCCCTTAACATCTATATATGGTTTCTCCGAGACACGGATACGGGGTCTAAGTTTCGTAATTCGCTCGACCTCACCTATTCAGTACAGAGAGCCGGGGTGGTTTATTCTCCTTGAATCTGAGGACTTGACTCTCATGACCTCACTAGAATATGTATAGCATTAGGTTTAAAAGCAAAACAGATTGGATTCCGGTGGACAGTCGTTTATGCACAATCTGAGTAAGAACACGGAAATTTAGGGATATACTCAGATAACTTTCCATTAACTACAGCTCGGATGAATCTTAGAGTAAGCTTTCTGCTTTTCTAAGAAGAGTGAACACTCGCATGTTATCATAGAAGGAGGTTTTAGTACCAAAGTGAGAGATTTTAAGTGGCCATACAGTGTCCCAGCTCAACGAACAGACAACGGCAACTGTCTGATGATCAGACACCCTTTGATCCCTAACAATCACAAACTTTAAGCCTAAAGACATCATCCGACGTGATGATCCTCACAATCGACTCAAAGATGGGTGCGAATAAACTATATCGTCCTCAGCCGTCGGAAAGGTTAGAGTGAAGACTATTGGTCATTGTGAAGCACATTTCTAGACTAATCATGCTCAAGTATGGACACACGTTCCTTACTGGATACAAAAAAGTCAGCAAGAAGACCTTGAGTTTAGCTCAACGATTAAAAAAATCAAGGGTATATTTCAAGAACAACTAGAAAAGCAGTTAGTCACCGAAGTTATGCTTAACCCAATGTATGTTGGGATATCTGCGGGAGCAGAAGTGGTATCTACCAGTTAATATAAGCAAACGATTAAAAAGAACCAATAGATTTCAGCGTCGTCTACTGGACTAGTAAACTCATCCCGACAAACTCAGAATCCGGTGAGGAGAGAAGGTAACAAACGTAAAAAATGACAAATTCTACTCTCAACCGAGAAGATTGAAACTATAAGTGGGAAACTGTGAAGAATAGTTCAACTACTTTTCAGTTGCTTAATATCCCCAAACAACCTGAATTGGATATTAATACAGACCCATAAATCTTGATAAAACCGAAAACGCCATAGCTAAGCTAAAGCAAGGGGGTACAACCAACCTGTGATCTTCCAGGTTTATAGTTCAGTTCTAGTTATTAGATTGACTGAAATACTACCTAGGATCTGGAGACTGGATGTAGTTACATCTGACTGGTCTCGACTGATGTACATCCCAGTCTGTAATAAAGAATAAAAATACTTTTGTGAGTCACAGAGGAATCCATCTGACTACTATATTGTCCGAAATATTAGCCTTAATAACCTTCCAACGCCTAACTAGGGCTCACGAAGGGTAAACCAGGCTAGTTTCAGACTTGAAATTGGGTGGGAGATACTAATGGAGTATTCAAGAAATCTTAAGCAACCACACAACCATGTTTGGGATGCGTTTGTCTCCCTCTAAATGCAAAATGTTGCCTTGCGACTGGTTTACGTCAATACCTGAACAAATGATAGGGAGTAAAGTAGTTGAATGTGTCGACCACTTCACTTATCTTGAAAGTCTCATCAGCGCTAGTGAGTTGGCGTCTAATGCGATTTCAGCATGAACTCAGAAATCTCGGTTTGGCTTTTGTCAATTTAAATCACTTACGGGGTAGGAAACGTGTCTATCTGCTAACTAAAAAACATGTGTACTACTCAGCAGTTTGATCCGTTATACTTCATGGTTCTAAAACATGGTTTGTAGAAATAGATATTCGTAGGTTACTAGTATTTGATCGTGGATACCTTCAAAGCATTACTTGTATATGTTGAGACCATCGAGTAAGTTATCTTGAGATTAAATACAGTGCTCTAGGTAAAGACAGTGGATCGATTGATGAAGTAGTGAACCGTGATCAGCCTGTATGGTTGGGTCATGTATTATTTATCCTCATCCACCGTCTGTGGGTAAGTTGCTAGGAAGCTAAGAGCGGACAAACCAAGACGTGGCATCAGTCCAAGAAGTTACTGGCTATTGGACTGTTGCTTTACTGTTCTGGAATTTACCTTAACAATTTCATCTCAGTGTTAATGTGGTGTGACATTTTAAATCAATTCACACGTATCCCATCTTCTACGTTGCGTATGACAGACTGACTGACTTACTGTTGGTCTATAGTGAATAACGTCTTCAAACTAACATTTTAGTTCATTATAATCAGAACAAATCAATATATACGCAGAATAAGATTTATGAGCTTTCGGTCGAATAAAACTTAATTAACCTACACTCAGTACTATCATGTAGATTAGAATGTGTTGTTAAAAGATTTATTGTACTCCCACATATTTATTCTATAATTTATCAAATGTCTTTGATTTTTACTGATATTTCTACGTAGTGCTTTTCCATATTCATATGGTGTGCAAAAATGATTTAATCTGTTAGCTACCATCAAAATTTCAATGGCTTACAAATGACCTACAAAGCATGCATCTTACTATCACTTATGTTTTAAATGACTTCAAATCCGTATTTAATATGCTGCATATATGTGTATCATTTCACTGGAAAAAAACGACTTTTCACTATTCGGATATTTGTCTTATGATATTAGTTCATCAATTCGATTCAAGCGATTAATTGATATTTCAACTCACGTTGCAGTGAACGAGAAAATCTGCGGGAACAACGGGATATATTTAAATACAAAATTACAGAATATCTTACCAAAATCTGAGAACCATACAGTAAATACTTAATTAGTAAAATGCTCATCAATTGCCTCAGACTTGATTGTTCCTTCGTTTCGATACTAATCATTCTCTGTTCTCGTTCTCTTCTCTTCGATCCTCTTAACCTTCTGCCTCCAGGCATTTCGCTTGCAATTGATGATACATACTACTTATATTTGTCGACATCAGTGGCACACACCACAACGTCATCTCAAAGCTCATTCACTCATAGATGTATACCTTTTTTATCATAGAGACAAATAAAGCAAATGAAATTCATGTGATATTACGTATTCTTTAATAGCATGATTCTGTCGTTTGTTTCAATTTTTCGAGTGTATTTTTCAAACAGTTCTATGTGCTGTAACATGCAAGTTTATG